TACACATAAGGTGAAAGAGACATTCTGAAATTTTATGTGGTTTAATTACTAAAGTGTTAGAACTTTAGAGTATCCGTGTGCCATGTTGTAGCCGATCAGTGTAAACACTACCCAGACATGTGCTCTTGTTTATTTAAATCACAATGGGCGTATTCACATATTTCTTTACCTAATACTAACTGTCGGATTATCATGATATTATCAAGCAAATAGCGCGATTTGCAAGTGGGAAGGCGATCAGAGCTGCTTCGAGACGCAGACACTTAAGTCAGTCACTCTTGTTCTTTCTATTCGTATCACGAAGCTGTAAAAATATATTTAGTTTCCACCTATATGTATTTGAAAAGTAGACCGTCCAAGGTTTCTGAGGGTGTTTTTAAAATGTGTATATGACATTATTTAAATGATTTGGCGAAATTTCTGTCAGATCCCGCCGGCGGGATAGCCGACTCCAAATGGTTAATGAATATTAACAATGTAAAAACAACACTCAATACACACTGTGAAGTGTTAACGGTGACACTGAATGGTGTGGACCCATATAAACACCATGCAGTGTTAATTTAACACTGACACATTTGCTGTGTATATATTAAAAGCCACAATGAAAGATAAACATACAAAGTTAATTTCTCTGACAGGTTTCACAGTATGATTTTAAAACAGTCAGCGAAACAGTAAATGAATTAAAACAGTGTCTTACCCTGTGACAAGTATTTATAGAACAAAGATGGGTGTTGAACAATGCTCTTCAAACACTTCAACTCCCAAATCTTTTCCAAGGTCTTTCTAATGCATTTTGATTACCTCCTGCACCAGGACACACCGCTACAAAGTGAAGAGGACGGGTGGGGTAGCAAGCGACTGATATGAAGATGCGGCAGGTTACATGCTAAGCTAAAAGCTAGACCAAGCCGACAAACTCTACCCAGTCTGTTTCTAGCGAATGTCCACTCCTTCGAAAATAACATGGATAAGCTCAGAAGCAGGATTACAACCCAGCAGCAAATTACAGACTGCTGTGGTCTTATTTTCACACTAGCCTGGTTATCGGATAATACACCAGGCTCAGTGGTTAATCTACGAATGCACTCCATCTACCGTGTGGACCGTACGGCAGCATCCAAAAAGAAAAAAGGCAGTGGTATTTGCATTTGCATCAACAACAGGTGGTGTTCAGATGTTCAGATCGTCAACAAGCACTGCACAACTGACTCAGAATTTCTGTTGCTGAAATGCAGACCTTTTTATCTACCGAGGGAGTTCACTGCTGTTTTCATACTGGCTACTTATTTCCCGCCACACACAAACACCACAGCAGCGCTGGAGCTCTTGACGCTGTATTTATTATTGTGGGTGACTTTAAGCACTGCAATTTATGAACTGTACTACCAAAGTACCACCAACATGTTCATTTCCTAACCAGAGACAAAAATGTCCTGGATCATGCATACAGCAATGTCAAAGGAGCCTACACAGCTGTATCCCGCCCTCACTTCGGACAATCAGACTACAGTTGTGTTCAAAATTATTCAACCCCCACTGAAATTGAGTGTTTTGGCCAGTTTGACATTGATTTTGATCATTTCAGTCATCTTGTTTACAATTAAATCAGAGGCACTTGTAAGTCAGACAAATATAACATAACATTTATAATGAAATAACCACAAATGTCTTTTCTGTGCTCACATCATTATCAGTTTTATT